CGAACTCTCTGGCTCAGGCACACAGTGATCGCCAGGCAGTGCAACATTCCTTGTTTAGAGGACTTCTCAGAACAGTATTATACCAGCTTCAATTTTGTATACAAGACAGTTTCAAGCCGTTAAGCAGACGAAAGAATAGATATGAGAAGAGTAGAGAACTGAAAGGGAATCAAATTTAATGCGCGATGTCGAAACATCCTATGATAGGCACTGCAGACGACAGAATAGAACGAACCTTTGGATTCATGAAGGTTGGGAACCCCCCGAACCTCATGATGACGGTCCATTGCCGGGCTTGGAGAGAGCCTCACGAAAGTATCTTAGAGTAGCAGTGAAGGTCAAATTATCAACCGACTACCCCAGGAATCTGCAAGTGCAACTCCGACACGGGGGGACAAGCATCGGCCATGCAGCAAGTGCTAGTATGGCTACTCGGGGGCGAAGTAATCTGTGGAAGATCTTATTAGGGGCACGGTGTGTATGTCGTTAGCACCTATGCACTCGCACAACACATGAACACGTGTGAGTACTGTATGATGATCATATCATGATACAGAATAATAATAATCATGACAAGTATGGGTTGAAGGTGAGATGAAGAGACCAGAACGATCCAAGATGGATGAAAGTTGCCAAAGAGTGAGAGGGAAGTGATCTATCATAGTAAGTACCTCGACTAGTGAGGCACTCCCATAATCACTATCTACTCTATATCTACGGAGTAATATATTATCTATAATTATTACTCAGTCCAGCCGCAGCGCTATTGACTGTAGTGTAACTTTCTCTTGCCCGGTAGGAACTTTGACATAATGCATCTCTTCCAATCATTGTCGATCTTTTAGAAGAATTCGCCTTGTTCCAAACTTTGGTTGACAATCATAATCATCGCCGTTGTTGCCTTGTGAGGATCGCGGAGGAACTGCTATGCTCCTCCTTTTCTATCAATAGATATCTAAATCTTGATCCCACTGAATCCTGCTGCCATAATCTTCTAGATAGGTGTCATCATCATCATCATCATCATCATTCCTAATCGTATCTACATCATGTCTACGCCCCCTCTGCCCCATTCGTGTAACCTCAAGCAAGTGGCTTTATCACCCGGTCGCTGCTCTCACAATAAGCTCAAGGCCCCCCACATCCATATGGACGAGATCAACAAACTAGAGAATTCTTTCCCCCAATGACTACGGACAAATGGTACGAAGGTTCAGTCCTTGCTATTCACACTTCAATTGAAGTACATCGTTCGACGGGCAAATTTGACCATCATCAGAGCTCCGGACGCCATGCCTTGTCTAGAACGCCTCAGAGATCACGTAAAACCGACAAACCTGCAGAATGCAATCCCAATAGCTGCAGAACTATCGTGCAATGTAGCCAGTCGCCCAGAAATGAAATAAAGAATGAGGATAACGGCACCATTATAGGAGTTGGGAATAAAGCCACAATGAAACAAAGGAAAAATCTGACAAAACGAGGGGCCTAGTCGCTAGCTGTTTCCTTCGCTGAACCGATTTCAAAGACTCCGATGCTCTCTCAGTACCACTCCACGAAAAGTAGCGCTGTATTGGTGTGAAAAAAGAAAGAAATTTCGGGAAATCTCAACCTTGAACATCGTTGACCAGCCTGGTAAGAAGTGCGTAGCCGAATATGAGGGCGAGCCCAATCCAGATTTTGTTTCGACGAGCCCAGCTCTGACCTGCTTCTCGTGCGACCTGGCCACCCTCCATTACCGCGCCGAGTCCAGGCGCGCTTGCGTTTGGACGCCTGCGGAGTGCGCTTGTCTCCGGAGAGCACTTTGTGACTGACGAGTTAGGGTCGGGTATTAGTTGCCCAGTGTTCGTATCAATGCGGTTTTCTCTCATCCATTGCCAATTCTCTTGATCTAGCTCCGGCCATTCGCTGCGGAACTTGAAGCCGCCATCTCCAGCCTTCACATTGTTGATTCCCCTCGCTGTGGGAGTCACTCCCGGGGTTGCGCTGATGTGAGAACCTCCACCTGTAGAGTTCCACCACCTTGAGCGCGCAGCCAACACTCTCCGTTCCGCCTCCGAAGCACTGACACTACCGGTGGTCATTTCTTCACTAGTCATGAAAGATAGCAACCCGATCAAAATGGTGGAAACCTCCCAGGCTGGATTAAAGGATTTGGGATGAAAGTCACTGATGCTGAGGCACAGTCGAGACGAAGGTTGGAACCGACCACTTGGAGTGTGCATACGGATTGCCGGGGGCGCAAACGGGTACTCGGGAGGGAACATCAATGTACCCCAGTATTGACCATTCTCATAAGGTGTTCCGGGAGGACCAGTGAGAATATAATGCCATCTAATCTCTTTTTAGTCACTTTATTTTCACATGTTGAGCAGATGATGGGAACAGGAAAGACTTACTCGAGAATGTTGGACTCCGATGGATGCGCCACAATGTATGGCGGAGGATTCTTTTGAATGTTCTGATACTCGCGGGTGAGCTGGAAATTGTCAGCGCAAATTCAAAGGTACAATACTGTGTTGTAGATGAACGAACTCGCTTGTACGCTGCTTTCGTCGCCATCTTTGAGTGGTTAATGCAATGATCTCCGTAACTTTCGAGGCTTGATAAAGTCGAGGGAGGGATTCGGCTCCAGATGCAACAACGCCAAATAGAGCAAAGTGAGCTGAAGGTATTAAAATTTAAGACCAAGAAAATCAAATGATATGAAAGAGAGAATAGGAAGGTAGAATAGCCTCTGTTGCCTGTGTGATGATTTCTGCGGAGTGTCGCTGATGTATGCGCTTGCAGTTCGAGGGGGCGGTTATCAGTCACGTGAGGTTTATGGCTTCATTCTCGCGGCCGCGAGCATCTCGAAGGAAACCGAAAAGGACTGTACGAGGTCTCCTTGGCCATTGCAGCCGCAGCGATGTCCTCACCACTCTCCGCTGAAGATGAAGACGTATGTGATATCATCGGAATTGTCCAAGCCCGTCTGTATAAGAGTATCAACTGACGCTCGCGTGCCTGTTCATCATGTAGATCTTCGAGCGTCTTCAACAGCGAGCCGACCCGAAAGTACTTAAGGAGCAGCAGCAGGCCATCAACGAACGAGTCCATGCTATCTACCAAAAGGCGCAGATGCGTCTTGGAGAGCTGGTATGCCCTCAATTTCCTGTTATTTTATGCAATTCAATCTGCAATGAACGCCGGCAGAATACCTGGTTTACTGACCAACCTCTACATAATACCAGATCGACCAGAACTCAACTCTTCCATGCGCCATATCGTCGGTCCAAGTGCTTAATGCGACTCATACACGCAGAAGGTTCCTGCAATCTATATTCGACCCACTTCTAAGCGTCAATCAATCACGGCCCTATACTCTCTCTGAGGCATTGCGGGAGATCTCATCTCGTGCCGACAAGCTCGCGAAATTCGGTTTGTCACTTTGATATGAAATAGTGTATTTGACAGTTTCTGATATGCTCACAGATATCTTTCAGCAACCAATTTCAGTATATATCGACCAGTCACCAGATGCGAACCCGCAAAATCGAATACCCAACATTGATGTCTTTTTCTCTGTTAAGGAGAAGTCCCGTGTACTCCTGAAGACAGGAACTGATCTTGGGAACACTGAAGGCTCGGCCTATGGAAATCTCCTCTGGCGCAATGTTTTTGGTGGCGCAGAGACTCTCAACCTGAATGCTTCTATGGGAACTAGGACGAGGTCTGCCTATCAAGCTGCTTTCGAAACCCCCCTTCTTAGCGATCCGGATTTCCGCTTCGAACTTGGTGGTATTGCGAGTTCGACGCAAAAGTCATGGGCGAGTCATGAAGAAGTACTGAAGGGTGGCTGGAGTAAGCTCCGCTGGCTCAGCCAATCCGGTCATCGCCATGAGATCGGATACAATGGCTACTGGAGACAGATTACTGGACTGGCCGAGAACGCCTCGCCCACGGTCCGGGCTGATGCAGGGGACAGTGTAAAGAGCAGTATTTTCCACAGCTGGGTCGCCGATCGAAGAGATAACCCTCTCCTTCCATCCCGTGGCTACTACGCCAAGGCCTTCAACGAATTGGCCGGATGGGGACCCCTGAAGGGAGACGTCTCGTTTTGGAAATCGGAGGTCGAAGCCCAGGGAGCAATTCCCATTCCAATTCCCGGGCTTAAAGGTGACAGCGGTATCAGCTTCACAACCGGTTTTCGTGCGGGTCTTCTTTATCCTTTGGGGCTGGACTCCGATTCCCGACCTCAGCTATCTCGCATTAATGACCGCTTCCTGCTCGGAGGCCCGACGGACGTCCGCGGCTTCCGCCTCTGTGGACTTGGTCCTCATGATGGAGCCGATGCTGTAGGAGGCGATGTGTATGCTGCGGGAAGTGCAAATCTACTCCTCCCTCTTCCTCGAGTCGGTGCGGACAAGCCTCTGCGACTGCAGGCGTTTGTGAACGGTGGCCGCCTTCTACCCCTGCGCACTTTGCAGAAGGAGGCTCCCACAAACAGCGCAGAGGTGAAGGACGCCATGACTGCTACGATTTCAGAGCTAGGAAATGGACTGCCTAGCGTTGCGGCAGGCATTGGACTCGTGTACGCCCACCCTGTTGCGCGATTTGAGCTGAACTTCTCGCTCCCACTGGTGTTGCGGAAGGGTGAGGAGGGCAGAAAGGGACTGCAGCTCGGAATCGGTATCAGTTTCCTGTAGAAAATATGTACTATGCATCAATTTCGAATAGAATTTTACAGCGTTCAGATCTGATCTAGTTCTTCGTATGGGGAAGCTGGGGGGGTTGTCTGACTAAGCACATAGTGGAGGCAAGGGAGCTATTCAACACACAGCCAACCGCTGTACTGTACGAACCGCAACACCGCTCCAGACTATGGAACTCTTCAAGCAAAATTAGTCTATCATACTCCTCAGGCACTATAGCACTCAATAGACCTCGGAGTCTCCGAATTTACCTGTTCCGATCAAGCGCTTGATCGTCCTTGCAGTCCACTCTACATATTGGCCGCGATGGCCCAATACTATCCACAGCAACAGCCCTACGGGTCGCAGGCCTCCCCGCAGAATCTCCAGTTTTATCCTTCATCATATACCTCGGTTTCAGGCCACACAACACCATCGCAAGCTTATGGCGGGTTTGGCGGGCCCTCGGGCTCCACTGCTCAGGCATTTGGAGGGGTCGGGAGCGGATACGGTGGCTTTGGGTCCCCTGCCGCTGCAGTGAGTGGGAGAATGGGTGAACAGGGCGGATTAAGGACAGGATGGCTTGCTGCATTTGGCACGGAGGGCTATGAAGGGGAGCCGCCGCTGTTGGAGGAGCTGGGTGTGAATTTTGCGCATATCAGGACCAAGGTGGGTAATGGCCTGTCCAGTGGTTTGATATCCGGCTGCGCGAAGAATGGAGACGTTGTGTTCCTATTTAGACGGAGAGAGGCTAATCTTTTCGGATCGCTCACAGACACTGACGGTGCTCAATCCCTTTGCTCGGATTGATCAGCATCTCATGGACGACAGCGATCTTTACGGGGCTCTCCTCTACATCGTGCTCTACGGGACATTCCTCCTTCTCTCGGGCAAGGTCTTCTACGGCTACATCTACGGTGTTGCCGTCTTCGGTACCGTCGCCCTGCATCTGATTCTCAGTCTCATGTCGCCCGCTCTCGATACCGCGTCTGCGCCCAATGCCGCAGACCCGTCCAACTACGACCCCCATCACAAGCCTACCATGTCCGACGCCTCTTCCGTGGGTCATTTCTCTGCCACTCTGACGTTTCCCCGGTCAGCCAGCGTTCTCGGTTACTGCTTCCTGCCCTTGGTTTTGACCAGTCTTGTGGGGATTCTGATCCCGATGGATACGTTGTTCGGGTACTTGTTAACGACGGCCGCGGTCGGCTGGTGCACGTATAGTTCCTCGGGGATGTTCTGCGCTGTGGCCCGGATGCGTGGTATGAGAGGCTTGGTGGCGTACCCGCTTGCACTGTTCTATGTCGTCTTCGGCATCATGGGGATCTTCTCGTCCCGCGGCAGCGGTACTCTGGCCGCTAAAACGGGCGCCGCTTGAGGGCGAAGCCCATGACTGTTCGTTACAAGGTTGGTCGCACTTCTTAGCCGGCCACTCGGGACTCATGTYTGCATGATCTGGTTTTTAGCCTCGTGTATTCTCTTACTGTCGAAATTCTTGTTCTGTGGGTATGAAGAAGCTCCATACTTATGATAAATATCCTTTAGCTGATCGGTAAATGAACTTACATATTTTCTTCATAGAAGCAATGACATGAATTAATAGAGGAGATCGATAGACAAAGGTTTCAGGTACAATGATCATATCATCAAAGCGTTCATCACTTAGGTTCTATATCCATATGACACCCTAGATCGCAGGTCTATGTCCAGCCAAATCATCTAATAGAACGTTTGTCCTCATCTTTTGCAGGCGCCCAGTTTGTCAACCACTCTCGTGCTTTGTCAAGATCCCCAGCGGTGGCTTCGACAGCAGCAACACACCATGGCAGATCATATGCCTTCCCTCCGGTCACAGCTCCTTCAGCGGCAATCATCTCCGCCAGAATTCGTCGCTGCTGGCCGACTTGATCGGTGCAAAGGTAGAAAGGTGCAGTGTTCGGCGCGTCCCTCCGGAGATTGATGGCGTCTATCAGGGGTCGCACCAAGGTCAAGATATCCGCGGCGCTCATCGACGTCGACCCGCCATCGCCGGTGTTGGATGATAGCCGGTGTTGCTTCCCTGTCTTGCAGTACTCGTTCTGACACCAGGGCTTCCCGCATCCTGACATCAGCTGGGAGAGATATCGACGCTCGATGCGGCGACGAAGCGATTTCCCCTCGGGATCGTACGTATCTACGTAAAGAGGTCCGAAGCATATACTGCAGAGGCCTAGCGTGTCGGTTCCTGGGGTGATTGTGCTCTGCACTACGCGTGCATCGAGCGTTCTGCCACAGTTCTGGTTCAAACAGATACGGGGCGCTGGTCGAGAGAGACGCTCGAGATCATGGTGGCGCAGGTGCGTCTTCATATCCCGGAGTCGAATGATTTTGTTGCAGAGATGGCATTCTGTCGTCCGGCCGCCGTCAACCAATTCATGCGGAGTGAGACCGGACAACAACACCTCAGGGTCGAGCATGTCAGGGTCCGTCTCCCCTCTCTGCGGTACTACCAGATGACAGAATTGACATAGAATTGGCTTCTCTGGACATACGGTCGTGCGATGTTGAGCGAGGCTGGGGAGGCTGTCGGCTTCGAATCCACAACCAGGACATGAGCGCCTGGTATGGAAGATACCGTCATGCCTATGTTTGCTAGAAAGATCATTACCGTGGGACGAATCCTGAGGGCAGTGCCAATGATTTTCCCATTCTGGAGAGCGCTTCTGGAAGACATTGCCGCACTGAGGACAAAGCACATTATTGCGCAAACAAAAGTTCTCGTGCAGAACAAGCGTCCTCTGAGGCACCCATTGATGACAGTTCTTACACTGCACATCGCCAGGTTCATGAGTATCTGACTGGTCTCCCATCTGTTCCACCTCTTGAACAGTCGAAGAGCTTTGCACGACCCGGATGCTATAACGAAGTGGTGAAGTCTGGGTTGATTCCACCCCGTCACCAGCCTCGGTTTGAGCATACGCATGTACCGAAAGATACAACGCCTCGGCCCCGTCTAGTTCGACATTTGTTGGCCGGATACGAAGCTTTTTTGACGGTTGGCTTGAGAAGTCGGCAAAAACGTGCTCGTCCAACCTGGGTCGATTCCGCTGACGCGAGGAGAACGGACTTGCAAACAAATAGACAACTGCGTCATCTATTCCCTCAAGTTCAACTTCGATCATCTCCTCACGATCCCATTTGCTGAGTTCGTAGTCCACGTATTCGCCCGGGATCACCTGTCCAGTGACTGTTTCTCCCAGGGCGAGAACCCCGCCTATTGAGCTGCCCCCTTTGGTACCGGGAGCACGAGAAGCTTTCTCTAACCGTCTTTGCAATGTCTCTCTTGCCTGGTCTTCAGTTAACGCCACGATATCGACTTCCAAATCCGTATCCACGACGCAAATGCCGTCGCCTTCGGGTTCCACCTTGTCGACAAGAAATCTAAACAGTTCGTTCCGATTCCCGGACACCGAAAGGAGTTCCCCGGTAGTCAAAGTAGTGAAATTGTCACGTAAATATCGCTCCAGCAAAGCTTTCCAGTCCTCTGGGTCGTATCCAGCTTCGAGAGGGCGTAGGCGAACATACGTGCCTTTGGGCAACTGCTTGGCATGGACTGTAACTGCGGGGGCTGAGTGGCTGGTCAAGCGAACAGATTCTAATCGTCCTCCATTGTTCAAATCCGTAGAATGCGCCGTCTCTGTCACATGGTCACCGGTTTGTAATTGGAATAGCTCATCCTCGATGTCAAGAGCCCGTCGTAGAAAAGCGCTGAGACCCACTTCTTCCTCTTCAGCTGAGAACTCCCGTATCCCTGCATATATTGCACGATCATTTTTGGGGTTCACGAGTCGGAAAGTCAGTGGATGAGGTAACTGCTTTTGGCGGTCTAGATGCTGCGATCGAGCTCGCGATTCGGCGGCGAATGTGTGAGGATTGAACGGATCAAAGGTGCTGGTGTATTGGCGCGAGGAACTCTGAGACGACACGTCGCTCAACGGAGCAGCAGCCAGAAGCTGCTCGAGGGCCGATTGTGGCAGAGTAATCTTATCTCCAGGTAACTTGGGTGTGCGCTGTGGTGGAGCAACGAAGAACTGGTATGACCACTGTAATGAATCTTGCTCCCGAGCCATGATTTAGACACGGGATGTTATCAAAATGGGGCGACAAAGAAGGAATCTGTTGTGAGACATCTTATGTCCCATCAGCGCGCATGCAGTTGAAATCCATCGCCGCCATCGAACAGTTGCGGTCGTTCTGGAAGATGCTCCGCTTATCAATAACAATGTACCTCGTGGAGAAATTTTGCCCCTCCGTATTGATTACGACATCATGCTGGTTGCCTACTAGAAATATACTCAACTCACGGAAGAGTGGACTGTCTCGTCTTGAATTGCGAAGAAAAGAGGGAAATACCCAGAATCGTGAGAAACAAGAAAAAGAGGGGAAGAGTGGGGGCTGGGGTTTCAAAAGACCTATTCAATGGAGCTCGATTCGCATGGGAAGCAGTTTGAAGAACAGCAGGCTTCGCCAAAAAAAACCTGAAATAGGAGAGGAAAGGGAGATTCAACGTATTCAAGGGGGATATCTAGTGACTGATGGAGTTGAAGCAAGCCTGCTAACCTCAGTCCGCTGTAAATAAAAATAAAATAAATAAATAAAAATTCGCCCGCAAAGTTCATATCATGGTCATAACCAGTCGTCACAGTGTTCATGTTCAAATGCCAATAGGGGCCTCGCAAAGCTGCCTCAACATCTGCGGATACCTCTCGAAAACGTGCTAATAAAGTTGCCTAAGCCGATGACGCGAACTGGTGTTGCACCAGTCACACTGGAACCATTCCAATCAGCTTTGCCTTCCAGGTTGTCGTTGGGAATCAACTGCAAGTACTTACCATTGTCGAAGAGCAGCCCTCGTTGTGCTCAATGCAGTATAGTCCTTGGCAGTGTTGGCACGTTCGTTGGCAATCAAGTTTGCATGCGGCGCACTGAAGATACTGTCAGTTGAAAGCTTTGAGACTTTTCTTTTCCCTTTTCTTTTTCTACCGCCCCCTTTTCCGCTCGTTCATAAGAAATGCTTACAGTAGGGCCACATTCCCAGCAATCCTTGCTCACTCCACGTTCCAGTCTCTAGGATCCTTAGTCAGTGAACTGGCGTATCGCCTCGGCTCTGAACATGCGCATATCCAAGCTTGCATACCTGAGACGGGTCATTGCTGCTGAGAGAAGCTCTCATTGCAGTCTGATGCGGCGAAAGATTAGAGCTCACATGTTGTGGATGCGGCAGGCAGTCGGCGCAAAACCATTTGTTACAACGGTGGCACCAGCGATCGGTAAGACAATCTGCGCAGCGGGCAATCAGGGCGGGATGTTCCGCCCCTGGAAAAAGCGAAGGGCGCTTCGCCGCCGCAATCGAGGACGAGTGAAAAGGGGGCGGATCGAGCAGAGGAAATGTCTCCTCTGGGGACTGTCCCCAGATCGCTGGGCCCTCGGGAGAGCTGTGACAACCGTCACATCCGCGAGACCCGAGGGCAACAGTAGCAATCGCTGGACCGAGCAAGTGGCCATCATGCTGAGACCCATCCTGGCTAACCAACATAGCATTGGGGTCGTGTCTTGGCCCACGGCACAGCACGGCGTCAAAAGTGATGATGCCGTGGCATCTCCGAATTGTCTGTGCCCAGCCTTCCTCGATGCTAGCGGTCAGTAACCTGCCGGAAGGTGAGTACCAGGCGTTCTGCCGGTAAGTCTCACGGGCCTGGTCATGTTGAGGCGATAACTGTCTCGCTTCCACCGGCGTTTGACTGGCACACCTTGAACCCCACCAGTTGCGGTACCTGCTTCGTGCTGCAGCTTGTCCCACATTCGGTGGCGTGAAAAAATAGATTCCTTTCACCCTGGGGGTGCCGGCAGGGCGAGTCGGACGCACGGCATATTGAAGGACTTGCATGAGTTTACGTTCATTCAAATGTTGACACCCTCTGATAGACAGGATCTTCACATTGAAGCGGTCACTCAGCAAAATGTCTGCTATTAGGTCCGCCGGAACCGGTAACCCGTCCAAGATCAAGGTGCGCACGTCCTGTAAAAGCGACCTGTGCTCGAGTTTTGCGAAAATCTTCTTTAAGGGGGCCGAGTAGAACTCGTCCTCGGTAAGAGACTCGTCCATGAGTTCATTACCCAAGGCCTCAGCCCTACCGTCAACTGTCGAACTCCTCTGCAGCTGCGCCCCACGACACCTACTTAGGTCAAGATGCCGAAAGACGTAAGGCGTCTCCATAATCGCGGATCGGAGGGTGCGGCATGTTGATGCCAATGAGAACAGGCCCGAAACCGACAAATAAGGAGCCATATGATCAAGGATCAAGCTATTGCACAGCACATCGGTGAGAGATGCTGGCT